TTCTGCCAGGCCCCTGGGTTGGGCCTCTGTTTGTGGCTTGGTGCGCTTCTAGGCTGCCAAGTGGTGGCAGGGAATTCGCTCCGGCACACCTTGGTGATGTGCCCCTTTCGCTCGCAGTGCTGGCAGGTTGTCTCGCAGAAACAGCAAGCCGATCTGGCATGGTCTCCTCCACAGCTAGCGCAAGGTTGGAGACACAATTTGAATTCGTACGCCAGCTGGGCGTGGCTACTGTGCATGTGACAACTGTCATCTTCCTTGCCTTCCTCGCTCTGGGGCTCTGCAGTCTTGCAATGTATGCATGTACTCTTTTGCACGTCTTGTGGTATGCTTTGGCTCTGCAGAGTCTCAGTAGATTTGGCGGTTGATTCAGACGTCCTGTCCTCATCCAAGGCGATCTGCAGAGTGAGGTTAGATTTTGTGAGTAACCTCCTCTGCAGGGTAATGTCCTGCACAACGCAAATTATCCACTCCAGAATCCGCTCGTCCAGAATCCGCTCGTCCAGGTCTGGAATTTGCAGTATGCTGCAGCCTTGCGAAGTGCCGCAATGTACTGATTAATCAACTCGCCCTCTTTCTGGTTTCTGATGTTAAACTCATGCCGGCGAATGTGCTTGGGCGAATAGTGGGTCTTCAGCGTTTGCTGGAGCACGGACCAGGCAACTGCTTGAAACGGTGTCGGTTCAGAAAGGTTTTTCGCCATCTTGAACACTTCCCGGCCACGGTATCTGAGGAACATGTTCTTCTTGCGGCCTTCAGGAAGGCCCATGAGGTTGTTTGCCTCGAGGAAGCAGTCAAATCGTAGCATGTATGATTCCCAGTGCCTGGTGACTGGGTCATAAGGAGTCAGTGGGGCGTGCATAGCCATTTTGTGTAGAGAGGGCGATTTGAGTTTACCACTCAAAAATGGCTACTCGAAGCTGCACTCTGCTCCGGGCTGGATGTACTTGCTGGATTGCTAAGCTCTTTTTGGTTCACCTAGTTACCTTCCAATTCCATCCTTGTCACCAGTGTTAGATTGGGTAATGGATAGGCACACAGAGGCTTAACGGTAACAGCTCTTTATTGAGTACAACAAGAACAATCCAGTGAAGGTTAAGTCTGACAGCAGCCCTTTTATAGGGAGCATTCAAACCCTTCGACTAATAGGATTAAACCTCTGTTCCCACTGGAACAGAGGATCTTGGTGGAAACCACTGTAGTTAGGACTGATATCTAACATGTAGCATGTTCAGCCACATCTCATGGACATGCTTTAACCAGAACATGCTATCAACAATGTGTGGCTCTGAATGTGGGGAAAGTGGGATGGTCAGTGGATGAGGAGCATATACTGTTTTATATATATAATATTCTTATATAATGAGAAATAGACTGTTTCTCATTAAGGAGCAATTGTGCAAATGGTGTGGTGTAGAAAAAGAAACTGAAAAAAAAAACTTGATAATTTCTGAATTTATATATTTTTATCTAGCCAAGGTAATCGATTTTGGCTTCCTTTAGGAGAAAAAAAAAGTAAAATTGGAAGAAGGGTGTGTGTTTGTGTATGTATTCTGGACACAATTGTTTGATTATTCCGCACAAGTTAAATGTCCGTCTGAAAATGCATTAAGCTTCTCATTTAGAGTATCCAGGCAACAGAATGAAGTGATAATAGGTTTGGTGCAAATGCAATTTTGTTTTGATGTGGAATAAGGCATACAGTATAATTTATGGTTCAAGAGCAAAAATAAAAATAAAAATGGGCAGCACACTGAGCAATTCTTTATATAAAAGTGACTGTGTTATTAATTTGCCAGCAAGCATATTAACTATGAATCCAATTGGCAGTAGGAATGAGCAGTTTTATTTCATGTAGGAAATATCACATATTAATTTGAAAGATGGATAATTTAAAACAACAGTAGAATGTATTTGATTTTTAAGATGGGGGTAAAACAAAACTGATAACGAATTACTAAAAATGAATAAACTTGGTGGGTCAGTAAACAGACTTGTGGGGTTTAGGAAAGCCGTGAAAGAACATTCAGGTGATTAAAACAGCATTTGGGATATTTGCTTTGGAATGTGTTCTTCATTGGAGAGAAAGAACAAATGTTACAGAAACCCCAGATGGATGAAGCTGCTTTGTTCATAGTGTAGAAAAAATGTTGCAATGCATTTCAGCCCTTAAGTTGAATGTTGTTACCCAGTAATTTAAATGACAGCTTTGTAATTCCTCTTACGGCTCCAGAGATTGAAATGGGAGGCAAACTAGTGCTGCTTTGTCCCTCTCCTGAATTCAAGAAGATATTACCAATTTCTCATTGAGATCTTGCTCCATGAGCATATTATCAGATACAAACTTCCTCCAAATAACTTCTGCTGGGCCATGTCAGGAATGTGGCTTGATGTGCACAGATGAGGACTGCTAGACTTTCTTGCCTATCTCAGAAAGCACAAATGGCATGACTTCTATTTTGTTTTTCCAGTAGATTCCCTTCTTTTCTCTTACATTTCTAGTGAGGTTTTGGTAAGAATAAGGCCTGAGGCCTACATTCTTGAGGTTTTCCGAAGAGCAGCCCAACAAAAAAAAAGTAGAAGCAAGCACATGACTGGTTGAAACTGGGGAGTCATGGGAGCAGAAAACAGGAATGGAAGTTTATGGAGAAATGCCAAGTTTTGGGACAACTTATCAATTTGATCTTTGGCACCAGACTTAATTTTTTCCTGTGCCACTCTGAACAGATTGGGATTATTCTTGATATGCTTTTAAAGGCCAGCCTTGCCTAACTCTTAAGTTTACTTAAGATGGTTTGGAAGGCTTTAGTTAGCAATAGCAATAGCAGTTAGACTTATATACCGCTTCATAGGGCTTTCAGCCCTCTTTAAGCGGTTTACAGAGTCAGCATATTGCCCCCCACAGTCTGGGTCCTCATTTCACCCACCTCGGAAGGATGGAAGGCTGAGTCAACTTTGAGCCGGTGAGATTTGAACTGCTGAACTGCAGATAGCAGTCAGCTGAAGTGGCCTGCAGTACTGCACCCTAACCACTGCGCCACCTCAGCTGTCTAGTTGGTTTGTCTGCTACTCTTTTCTATTGGATTTCAAGTCTTACCTTCTTCATAGAGTACATAACTGATCTATGGAATTCATTCATGGAATTCATTGTCACAATATGTGTTGAGAACTAAATTGGATGACTTTAAAAAGGATAAATAGGATAAATTCATGGAAGAGATATTTATAACCAGTCAAATAGTCGTGAAGACTCTGTCAGGGTTCCAAGGAACACCCCCAATGAAAGAAGACTCCGAGGCTTGAAGTTCCTCAAAGTTCTATTTTATTAGAGATGTCATATTGGCACCTCTGGGAAAACCCGAATCTGAAAGTTTCCAGGTTTTCCCCACTCAAATGAAAGTCCAAGTCCCTGCCCAGCACCCACATATCCATCACTTGGTCCAATTTGGCACCATCCCAACTGGAGATGCCTCCTAGTCATGCCCTTCCAGGTGCAGGGCAAGATGTTCTTGACTCTCTGAGAAAGGAATGTTATTTTGACTATATGTATCCTATATTCCATATAATCCCTACTCCCAATTTCCCACACCATTGAATGTGGCAGGCCGGAAGGCCCAATGCAGAAGATGGCTTCCAAGCCTGATTAGGCTCAATGTTATTTCTGTGTTAGGGGCTGAATACCTCCAGATATTATAGGAAAACAACTATGGCAGATCATCTCCTGTTTGGAAGCATTTCAGAGATATTTGGTGTAAGAAACAAAATTCTGAACGAAAATTTGGCCAGCAGGATTATTCTAACACTCTTTTTAATTGGTTTTCTCTCAATTTCTTGGAAAAGGTTGGGCAACCGTTTCTATTTCTGAATGGAACATGCCAAGTGCCAGCGACATAGCACTTGAAATGCAATACGTGTTTATCATGCAAACCAAATTTAGCTCTCCTCTATCCTAGAGAAAGAAGTGTCATTAAAATCCACCACTGAGTAGGAATCTGGAATGTGGAAGTTTTAATTGAGTCTCTGGCTGCTAGTTGTTGATTCTAGATGTACTCTGCTAGTCTCCTATCTATCTGTTCTACATAATGGCAGCGGCTGCCCTTTACAATTTATGTTGTAAATGACTACTCCTTTGTTTCCACTTCGGCTGCTGCATCTTAGGTTTGCTTAAGATGTTTTGAGGGCTTTAGTTGGTTTCTGTGCTACTCCTTTCATCAGATTTCAAGTTCATTCCAAATGAGGAACCTCAACTGTCTTCCAGTTGAGAAAGTCAACTGACGCTTTGTTAGGTAAAGATTTAATATCCCAATTGTCCACTGTCGTCTTTTCAGTTCATCTTTTATAAAGTTACCATTTAAATTTGAACAAAATTAGATTCCTTACAGTTTTTTAAACACTGTTCTAACTATTCCAGTGCTAAAGACAAATAATGATTAGAGGGATGAAAATATTAATACCACCTCATTTAGTTATTACTTCTTCTTGTCCCATATCCATAAGTGGACATTGGAGATCATGTTGGTGATCTTATCGTTATTAGTTATTACTGGATTTTATTATTATTTGATTTGATTCCTGGCATTTTTTCATGATCCTCTAAGAATATTTGGGGTAGTATTAAGATAATTATTATGATAAAGGTTTAAATCAATTATATAAATTAATTTCATGGCTCACTCCACTCCCTACTCTTCTGTGTAATCTAGTCTAATTTAAAAACTGGTATGGGCAGGAGATAAGAAAATAAGCAGGACTTGTATCCGAGGTTTCCATAAATTTTAGTAGGGAGCATATGGCTATTGTTGGCTGCTTGTTCTCAACTGTGCCATGGATTAGTGGTAAAGTAAATAAACAGAAGGATTTATTGCTTGATTGGAAGTTTAGGTTCAGACCATAGTTCTTAAATCTTTTATTAAATCCATTTGCTTTACTTTTCCTATTGTTCACATACACTGGGTATCTTTACAAAATACTTAAGAAAAACACTTTTTAAAATTTTCCTACAGAATGAATACCTCAACGAAGGCATTGATGCACGAATTATTGAGTATGAGGACAACAAACCACTGTTAGATATATTCCTACAAAAGCCGATGGGATTACTGTCACTTCTTGATGAAGAAAGTAGTTTTCCTCAAGCCACTGATCAGACACTTGTTGGTAAGCTATTGGCAACTTGTACATAAAGATATATTGGCCTTTTTTTAGGGTTGAAAAAGAAATAGGATTATTTCTCAGATTACTTTAAAATTACCTGATTCACACTTAATCAACACCCCAGAAGATAGGCTCAAAATCCAGATGGATCTCAACAAAATTTTAACACTGGGCCCATTTTACAAAATGAAAAACAGTGTAGAGAAATGTAAGGTTTTACACACTAAGGCAAGAAAAAACAACTGTAGATTAGGTGAAACCAGGCTCACAAGTAGTAACTGAGAAGGATCTTGGAGTCCTAATGGACAATCAAATATGAGCTAGCAGTATGTGGCAGCAGCCAAAAAAACATTCAATCCTAGGCTGCATCAAAAAGCAGATAGAATCAAGATAGTGTGAAATATTAGAATCACTTCATAATCCCTTAGTAAGACCACTTTTGGAATACTACATCCAATTTTGGTCACCATGTTATAAAAATGATGTATAGACTCTGGAAAGAATGCAGAAAAGGGCAATAAGGATTAGAGGACTGGAGGCTAAAATATATCAAAAACAGTTGCAGGAATTGGGTTTGTCTAGTCTAGTGAAAAGAAGGAGTATGGATGATATGATAGCAGCATTCCAACATTCAAAGAAGAAAGGATCAACCTATTTTCCAAAGCACCAGAAGGCAAGAAGAAACAATAGATGGAAATTAATTAAGGAGAGAAGCAATCTAGAACTGAAGAGAAATTTCCTTCTAATGAGAACAATTAACCATGAAATGACTTGCCTTCAGAAGTTGCTCTTTCACTTGTCAGGAATGGCATAGGGGGATGGACTAGAAGAACCCCTCTAAGGTCCATTCCAACTCTGTTATACTGACTTATGACACTTCTGAATCTGCACTTTACAATGCCAGAGTCATATCCAAAATGCCTACAAAAATGTGTGATTGGAAAGCAGACACATATCCAAATGTATATTTTGGGGGAATTGTTTACAAAAAGTCATAATTGCTAAACAAATACATAGATTAGCAAAAAGTGAGAATGAGATACATTTTAGTAGAAATATCTATGGAACTACATATATAAACTTACACATAGACTTCTTTTTAAAAGGCAGGCAAAATAAATTCATGGTTGAAAAAGCATCAAACTGAGCAAAGTTGAAGTTGATAGATTTACCCATTTTTACACAGATTTCTCACTGAAGTGTTTTCATTTATGCCTTCAGGGTGAAAATATTCCCACTGCTAATAGTATCTGTATAGCTAATATTTTTTGCTTCAAGAAGCTATTCAGCAGAAATATCAGGCAGAACCATAAAGTCTTCCTCTATTTAACTCCGAGTAGAAGGGAGTTCAGGGCATCTTTTCCAGAGTAATTTTTCTTCATATCACCAAAATATTTTTAAATTTTTTAAATGCATATTTACATGAGTGATACAAAAGATAAGGTAATATTGGTGATGTTATAAGAGCAGTGTTTATCTTTACAGAAAAGTTTGAAGACAATTTGAAATCCAAATATTTCTGGAGACCAAAGAGAATTGATTTGACATTTGGCATTTACCATTATGCAGGGCAGGTAAAAAGACTGAATAATTTTTCTCTATTAATGTGATTATTTTATAACAGGGCGGGCTAACTTGTTCCAATACATTACAAAAGTCTAAGCAGCTTTTTACACTTAAATGGTTACAAATATTTGTGCAACACATTTACATCTTATCTCTCTTTCTCCCTCTCTCTGTATGTGTATGGGGGGGGGGGAGAAAAAGCAAGAGAGAAAGAAGAAAGAGATGAAGGAAGGAAGGAAGGAAAGAAAGAAAGAAAGAAAGAAAGAAAGAGAAAGAAAGAAAGAAAATCTTCATCCAATATCATAGAACAAACATGAAACACTTTCTTCTTTAAAACATTTATAAGTAGTACAGTCACTAAAAAGAAACAATAGATTATAAAATTGAACACCCGCTCTTTTAACAGCATTGCCGCTTATGCCTGGAACCTGAAATCCATTTCGTACAAAACTGCTGCCTTTATGTGCTCACAAATTCATGGTATATTCAACTTCATGGGTCACATACACCTTAGAGCTACTTCTCATATCACTGGTCATCCTGTTCTTGCTAAATTGGCATAAGAGACACCAATCTGAACATCCTGTGCTAAAGCTAAACAGTCTGCTTGAGCTAGTATTTTCCAGATGATCTGGATTTTAATTGCAATCCAGTATAATTTGAGAACTGTTCCAACTTGCATTGGAATGTGTGGAACAACAATACTGAGCTGTTTGCTTGTAATTGCATCAGAATGGATGTCTTTTTGTACATCTCCTTCTTCAAACAAAGACCACTATTAACATTGGTTATTTTTCATCTCCCAGTAGCCCCAAGTTCACTGTCCATGAGGAAGAACCAAATTGTAAATCTTCCCTGTAAACTCAAGGCACACCTATCTCAAAGTCTTGAGGAAGAGCCTTAAGCAAGTATTTGTTGCCATGGGTACTGTGTGTAGGGCCTTTTGCCATGTACACATACTCTTCTGCTGGGAGTGCAGCCTACTCTCTTCCTCACACATTTACAGTATCCTTATATATTGTATATTATATATCTTTTTGACTAGCAGGCCTCTAACCGCCTACTCAGTTGAACAGCAGACCTGTGCAGTAATCACATTCCCTCCATGGCCTTCCAAAGTGAATCAGTCTATTCATATGCTAGCTGAACGTCATCTTCCTTGTTTTCTTTTTCATGATTTTTTTCATGATTTGTTGATTTTTGGCGGATTCAGTCTACTTTATCTCCAAAGAACCTTTTGTTTTTCTCATTCAAAAACAGAGAAGCAGCTGAAGAAGAAATTGCATTAAATATCTGTTCCTGACCTTTTGTATTTTCATTCAGGTTCTTTACAATGTAAATGGGTTCTTAGCCAAAAACAGAGATACTTTGCCAGATGATATTATACTACTACTGCGATCCTCTCAGAATCACTTGATTCGGCTGCTAGCAGCCCACCCTCTTACCAAAACAGGTAATTAAATCCTATCTTGCATTTGCCAGGGCCAATATTCTTTGCTATCTTTCCATTTTGTGGCTCCCTAGAAGGAACTATCAGCCATGATAACCACCATACAGGAATACTACTGAAGGCCATGCAATTGGTACCTTATCCAGGACCCTGCTTCCTATCTGTGATTTTCCAGTGTCCTGCCCTTAGTAATACCTCTTATATCCGTGAGGGTGAACGCATGTGCCAGAGGTGGCACGCAGAGCCTTCTCTGTGGGCACGCGTGCCATCACCAGCTGCTCTTCTGGTTTCCGGCACACACGTGCACGCCGGCGGGCTTGTCTTCGCGCATGCCAGAGCACTGTGGTCTTCGGGTTTCTGGGGCACCAGCATGTATGAAGATCAACTGAGCAGTGCACATGTGCTTGCCAGAAACCAGAAGACCAGGTGGCCAGCGTATGCATGTGCAACGGCCAGCTTGTCTTCGAGTTTCTGGGGCTCCGGCGCACACTTGCATTTCAGTTTAGGTACTTGGCGCCATCACTGACCTATATGGATCAAACTGATAATGTTACCCTTTTATAGCTGTCATTACATCCTTGCAACTTTCAGAGGATTAAAAAAATCGGAAGACACATTATTCTGAATTGGCCATTGTTGTACGTGATTCAGTGTTGTCTAGAGCCTCCCATCCTGATCTAATGTCCTACAGATGTTTTAAGCTAGTCCTTCATCATTATTTGACATATTTGAAAGGCATCAGATCGAGAAAGAGTAGTTCACACTTTTTCTAATTTTCCAGTATTTCAGGCCTATCTTTCAGGATGGAGCTTATTAAAGAAAAGTCCTATTTAGAATTGATAGGATTGAACCTGAGGCCATTTACTCACAAACCAAATTCTTCTCTGAAGGACATTCTACTAGTGCACAAACAGTAGTGGATGCTAGTGTTGGATTACAGCAAGCAAAAAGGTATAGGTAGTCCTCGCTTAACAACCATTTGCTCAGCAACGGTTTCAAGTTACAACAGCAATGAGTGAATGATAGCTACAAGTCCTCAAAGTTAATAAATGTTGCAGTAGCCCCAAAGTCATGTGATCAAAATTCAGGTATTTGGCAATCTGTCCACATTTACAAACATAGTGTGCACTTCATGTCCCCTCCCACCTATCTATATCCTCCTGTCCTCTGCATGGAGGCTTCAGGGAGGCCACCTGAGGTCCTCACAAAGGGCCAGGTACTCCCTTGAAGCAGAAGCAGGAAGACGGCAAAGGTCAGCTGGGACAAAAGTGGTAAGCAGTGAAATGCAAGGGAGCCAAAAGGTAGAGATGATGGAGAGGTAGGCAAGGAGGGGAGTTGAAGAGAGTTGAGCATGGCAGAGCAAGAGAAACATGAAATTGTGATGAAACAACAGTACAGTCCTGGCCTAATTATTGCATTCAGGATTACTAGAATTCCCATCACTAAATGATACAATCACATAATTCAGCCTACTTTTTGCTTAACGTTGAAAATTCCAGTCTCAATTGAAGTTGTTAAATGAGGCCTGTGGAGATTCACTTCATGGTTGTCCCATAGGTGTTTTTTCAAGTGGCAACTGGACTTTCTGGTTTTTCTTTGATGTTTTTCTTCTCATCCAAGAAATTTCTTCAGCTGACTTAGTTAAACAGGATTACCTGTATTGGGTGAATATAGCATAATAACTATTTCTCAGTCATGCCTACCTCATGTGATACTGTTATGGGAGTAAATTTGAAGGCTATATGGCTTCACAATATACTCCACTTTGAACTCTTGCAGAAAAGGTGGGATATAAATCTAATGAATAAAATTACCTAAGGGGAATAAATAATATATTTTGCCATTAATCTGCAGGCCCAAAGCATGCTTCCTTGAACATAACCAATCAGGATTGCCATTTCTTTGATTGGTCCTGCTCCTCTGATTTTAATTGCAATCTCGCTATGCTGCTCTAAGCAGATGAATCATTTTTCATGATAGGGATTAAATGAAGTCAAAAGATTTATTTGTGCATAATATACAAAAAAAAAAATTAAGGTGACAAGTCATTGTCCAGGTTCTTACGTAGCTGTGTATTGTGACAGAAATTGGCTGTAATACTGAGAAATGGAATCTTGAAATCTAAGGCAGCTTGATAGAAATAGAGAAAAATGCTTATTAACCTCCTCTCCTGGATGTTTCTTAGATGCATCTAGGGCAGCCCAGTTTTTTGTGATGTGGATGGGCATTTAATTTTACTCAGCAAAGCTGTTTTTATGCTTATAAAATACAAATATGAGTCTTGTGCCTTTTAGTTAGCTCTCTGCAAGGTCAAACCCCAGATGTATTCTCTGATCCTCAGGGATCTATTTCCATTAGGAAACATGACTGTTACATCATATCATATAAAAATAAGCCAGCGGGGTTTAATATTTGTTGATTTTAATGCAATTATGAGGACAGAGTGAAAAATGCAAATCGTTAATTATTTCAGTAACCAGCATAGCTTTCATTTTGCCATGGAAGTATTGTACATGCTTTTTCTAAGTATAGGAAGTCCCTGGATTATAGAAGCCTTGACTCTGACTTTAGCCAAGGACAACACATTTGGAATGAAATAGTTTTAACCTTTGGAATTTTGCAACTTTGAGCTGTTTAAAAACTGTTAAAAAATATTTAGAATAGGAAAACAAAACAAGGCAAGACCAAAAAAAAGAGCAAAAATGGTAGGGATAACAAAGCCAGATGGGAAAAAAGAAAAGGAAGAAAGGGTAGGTTCATACTCACCAAAGGCCTGGGTAAAGACCCTGACCTTCAGTGCTTTTCAAAATACTAGTAAAAGAAGGGAGGAGGGCGGTGGTGGGTTTCAATTTATTTTACTACTGATTCACTCGGGCATGCTCGCGTGACGCTTCTGTGCATGCGCAGAAGCATCCAGGCAGGTGGGTGGAGCCTGCCGCCGCCACCACTTCCGGTACGCCCAATCCAGGGCAAACCAGCAGAAACCCACCTCTGGAGAGTGGTATTCAAATCTCATTCAAGAGGGCAGGTACTTTCAGGGCGCTGATAAATAGGTTTAACTGAAGGATGCTGGAGTGGGCGAATAATGCCAGATCAAATCAGTTGGGCAGATGCTATGTGAGCTAGGAGGTCTCTCATATAACCAAACTATTAGGGCCCTAGGCCATGTAGGGTTTTATAGGTAGTGCCAGCACATCAAATCACACCTGGAAGCAAACTGGCAACCAATGCAACTCACAATACATACCAAGATATGTCAATCATTAGCCATGCTACTACATTCTATACTACTTGAGGATTTCAGATGATCTTCAAGGCAGTTGTGAGATATCCAGGGCATGAGTGAAGGGCACACCAACCTAGGAAAAACAATTGGTGTACTAAGTGAAGTTGTACAAGTGCCACCATCACTTTCGTTGGCAGAACTACCATTTTCAAATAGGGACATGGTTGTTTTATTTGCTTTTTATTTTTAGTATTTTAAAAAGATAACAAATACACTTTTCATTTGCTTCTTCACTTTCTTATCCCAAATTATACATATGTATCAATACATATGTATAATTATACATTATACATATGTATTGATACATATGTATTGATACATTAAGGAGGGATACATCCCTCCTTAATAAGAGGGATGTGGGAGATCCCTTGCAGGGTAGGGCTGAGGACTATGCCCAGTTCCTGGCGGACAAAGTTGCTCGGTTTCGGTCGGACTTGGACTCCACCGCAGTAGATCCAGCCGAGACACAGGGGGATTACTTGGCAAACCATCTCTGGGTTGAGTTCCAGAATGTTGCCTCTGGGGATGTGGACAAGGCCATTCGAGTTGTAAGTGCCTACACCTGTATTCTGGACCCGTGTGCCTCCTGGCTGGTTGCCAACAGCAGGGAGGTGACACATGGCTGGATCCAGGCGGTCGTGACCGCCTCCCTTCGGGAGGGGCACTTCCCCGCCGCACTTAAAACGGCGGTGGTGAGACCCCTCCTGAAGAAACCATCCTTGGATTCCAGCCATTTTAAACAACTATCGTCCTGTCTCCAACCTCCCCTTTATTGGGAAGGTTGTTGAGAAGGTGGTGGCCTTCCAGCTTCAACGGGCCTTGGAGGAAGCTAGTTATCTTGACCCCTTCCAGTCCGGCTTCAGACCTGGTTACAGCACAGAAGCCGCTTTGGTCGCATTGACCGATGATCTCTGGAGGGCCAGAGATGGAGGCCATGCATCCATCCTGGTTCTCCTTGACCTCTCAGCGGCGTTCGATACCATCGACCATGGTATCCTTCTGCGAAGACTGCGGGAGGTGGGGGTGGGAGGCACTGTTTTGCAGTGGTTCTCCTCTTACCTCTTGGACAGGTCGCAGTCGGTGTTGGTCGGGGGGCAGAGATCGTCCCTGAGGCCCCTAACATATGGGGTGCCGCAGGGTTCGGTCTTATCCCCCCTACTATTTAACATATACATGAAACCGCTGGGCGAGATCATTCGGAGGCACAGGATAAAATACCACCAATACGCGGACGATACACAATTGTATCTGTCCGCCCCGTGCCAACTCAATGAAGCGGTGGACATGATGAACCAGGGCCTTGAGGCCGTTAAGAGCTGGATGAGCGCTAACAAACTGGTACTCAACCCGGACAAGACCGAGTGGCTGTTGTGCTTCCCTCCCAATAATTTGGCTGACATTCCAACACTCAGGCTGGGGGGTCAAATTTTATACCCCTCAGACAGGGTCCGTAACTTAGGAGTCCTCCTGGATTCACAGCTGACTTTCGACCATCAGTTGTCGGCTGTGACCAGGGGGGCATTTGCCCAGGTTCGCCTGGTCCGACAGTTGCGGCCCTACCTGAACCGGGAGGCTCTCACAACAGTCACTCGAGCCCTTGTGATCTCTAGGCTGGAATACTGCAATGGGCTCTACATGGGGTTGCCCTTGAAGAGCATCCGGCGACTGCAGTTAGTCCAGAATGCAGCCGCGCGAGTGATAGTGGGCGCACCGCGGTTCGCCCACATTACACCCATCCTCCGCGAGCTGCACTGGCTACCTGTCGGTCTCCGGGTGCGCTTCAGGGTACTGATGACCACCTTTAAAGCACTCCATGGTAGTGGATGTGGATACTTGAGAGACCGCCTTCTGCCGATTACCTCCCTCCGACCGATTAGATCGCACAGGCTGGGCCTCCTCCGGATTCCATCCGCCAGTCAATGTCGACTGGCGACTACACGGAGGAGAGCCTTTTCTGTTGCAGCTCCGACCCTGTGGAACGATCTCCCCGTTGAGATTCGTACCCTCACCACCATCCAGACCTTCCGCACAGCCCTCAAGACCTGGCTCTCCCAGCAGGCCTGGGGATAGGTTCCAAATTAACCCCCCCAAGGCTGAACGGTGAAAGCAAGGTTGTGGTTTACCATTTTATTTTTGGTCACTTATTGTTTGTCTCTTGTTACTGCACACCCTTCCCTTATGATTGTAAGCCGCCCTGAGTCCCCTCAGGGAGAAGGGCAGCCTATAAGTCTTAATAAAATGAACCAAAAAATAAATAAATTGTCAATAGAATTTTTGGTGATCAGAAAACACACATTTGGTGAAAGAACAGTTTCCCCCCATTATCCAGCTATAATCTCAGAGATATTGTTCTCTGTGAAACTGGAAAAAGAGACATAAATTGAGCTGGTCCTTGAGGGCCAAACACAGATGTTGGAAAACAGTCTGAGCGCTGTCTTTTGTGTGTCGTTTTTAAGGGTCGCAGTTGTGCACATTACTTGCCCGGTGGAATGTGTCCTTAGCTCCTTAAGAAAATGAGCTGCTTCTATCTTGCCGCTCAGAAAGGTGACAGCAGCTCTATAAAATACTTTTCTCATTTTCCCCATGGATTGCTTCCATGCACTGTTTCCTGAACCATTCATGGAGTCTAAGACTGGTTTGTCATACATTGCATTGTCACACTAGGCCATTGGAAATTGTACAGTACTTTCTAATCAGGCTAAGCCATCTTAACCACTTGTGTGAGGCTTTGGAAGATCCAGGGAAAGAAAATTGGGAAGAATCTTGAGAAATTCAACTTATAGAATAATATTAAAAGAACAAATGAAAGATACATGTTCCATCCTCTCATAATTTTCCCAATCATCGGGGGCGGGGGGGGGGGGTTTCTTGTAAAAGAAAAATAAGGACCGTCTAGACAACTTGTGTATTTTGAAGGCCAGCTTATATCTTCCATTGTTCACAACGTTTTATTTTTATTTGTGAGAAATGTTTAGTTACCTTTCCAGCTGCAGAATTTTTTTGGAAGTCAGCACCCTGAAAACCAAGTAATATAAATCCTATAATAAAATTCAAACAAGCATCAGAATGACAAAAGATGGACTAGAAAACAGTAAAGACACATCATTGTGTTCTTTTTGTCATCTAAAATTGACCCAGAAAGTACTGTATGCACAACAAAAAGTCTGGAAATTATTCTTACCAATATCCCTATTTTCTAAGACTTCTTTTGAAAGATAACAGGTAATTCCATCTTTCAGGTGGGGGGTCTATTCCATGAACCTAAAAAAAAATCATGAGGGAGGCAAATACTAAATAATAAAAAGATATTTTCATGAAGAACTTTTTGTGCAAATGTAATGGCCAATTTTGTTTGTTCCCTGACTAATCCAGGAAGTGACCCTTTTTACCAATTTCTGATGTCTTCTCTCTCTCTCTCTCTCTCTCATTCTCTCTCAGGTAATTTGGCACTGAGGAAGCATGCAATAAATTGTGAGAAGTGGAGACCACAGAATGTAGTCAACCAAATAAAAGTAAAGGAGTCCCTGGATTGCTATCTAAATCAGATTTTAGAGTAGATAAATTGTTAATCCTTATGGGGTGGGGGGGAGGCTGTCTTTTTCCTCAACTCAGGTATTTTATTTTATTTTTGTTTAGCAGGGTATTTTGAAATGTACAATTCATTTTTGTTCTGTATCAGAAAAACCAACATCTCCCTCCTTTCTGGTGTAGTTTTATGAGTTGAGAGAAAACTAAATTAATTCTCAATTGTTAATTTTCTTTAATGTTAATCCATACATACCTTTACTGGTGAGTGTGGGTCACTGAATTCACAGAATCTAACTTGCTAGCAAATGTATTGAAAAAGAGAAAACACAAAAATTTTAATTATAGAATTACATCCAACTTTATTGAAAGAGCTACACTACTATTACTATTGTAATTAATATGATCATTAGATGGATGATGTTTTAATAAATAAGAGAATGATAGGTGTGCTGTTTCTCTTCACATTTGTGACAAACATTTGTATCAAAATGTTCAGCTTTTGCAGATATACAGTATGATAAAGTATTCTATGTTTCTGAAATAACAGCACCTATAGCTTAGAAAGGATACATGTAGGTTTTAACTGAATTCTTTAAAAGATCATTTTGTGGGGCAGATTCAATCATTTTTCTTTCTTGATTATACAGAATCAGCAGGAAGGTTCCATGCATCCAAGAGAAGCAAGCAAAACACACACAGTTGCGTCTTACTTCCGAGTAAGAGATTGCTTATTTTATATTTTAATGCATGTTATTCATACAACTATCCATGCTACTTTCTCTAATTAAATGATTAAAGTCAATTCTCCCATTACACTGTCTTGACTCTTGACAACTCAATGGATATTCCTATTAGTTTTTTCCGCCTCAATATGGAAGTTCTTTAATATTTTCACTTTTTTGGAAAAATTTTAAACTTCTCAATCTGCCTTCAGCCTTAGAATATTCTGGTATTAGTCTCCTCTCTCAATACCAGCTAAACCTCATTATCCCTACCTCCTTGAAATGAGCAAAGTACATCCAGGAGAGGGCAAGGAAACGTTTAATATTAGTGTTTTAGAATATTATTTTAATGCATAAAGAATATTATTTTAATGTATAAAGAATATTATTTTAATGCATAAAGACTGGGAGAAAATACTTCAATTCATTATTAGTGAAATAGCTATTAAATCCACTAATTTTCTTTATGAAGATTCTGTCCATCTAATATCATTGGCATGATACATGTATGCACAAACAAACCAGCTTATTGACAATGGAAGGGTAAATAGAGAGACGCCATGGCTCAGTGGCTAAAAAGCTGAGCTTGTCAACCAGAAAGATTGGCATTTCATTGGTTCGTATCCCTAGTGCTGCATAACGGAGTGAGCTCCTGTTACTTGTCCCAGCTTCTGCCAACCTAGCAGTTCGAAAGCATGTAAAAATGCAAGAAGAGAAATAGGGACCACCTTTGGTGGGAAGATAACAGTGTTCCATGCACCTTCGGCATTTATTCATGCCAGCCACATGACCACAGAGATATCTTCAGGCAGCGCTGGCTCTTCAGCTTTGAAATGGAGATGAGCACTGCCCCTTAGAGTCGGGAACGACTAGCACATACAGTATGTGCGAGGGGAACCTTTCCCTCTACCTAGACTAAATAGCCTATGAGCAAACTGTGGCATTAGCTCAAGTCAGGTTACCTGGATGGTATAGAAACAGTGATCTAAGTGGCCCTGCAGAAGACAGTGGATGAGACTTGGGCAAAATTCATTGCCTGTTCCAGTCTGCTACTTGAAACAATTTCTAAATATTTCCTAAGGGTACAGATGAACTTAATAACTACATAGTTATCTCAAGGCAATTTTAGGAAGAAAATACTTGAGTGAGATGGCTGCAGCAATTGGTTCTAATTTAAATTTGGTATTACTCAAAGAATAATATTTGTGATATGTGAATCTTTCAGAATATATGCTATCATCATTGGATTCTGTATCTTCATTTAAACTTTTTAAAGAGATGCCATCATTAGTTGTGTTTTACTTTTGGAATTCACAAATTCCAGCATTTACCTGCCAGTGACTAACAATTTCTGGTAGGTTCATGTGCCCTTCCCCACTTGATTTGTTTTATTTTCAGATACTTTTAATTGCCATGCTCCAAAATAAAATTCCAACCATCAATATATTCAAATATTTCTGTGTCCCACCAAAGCCTATAGGCATTCTTGAGAAATGAGCATAGAATCAAAAAGTTAAATTGGATTGGACCTGAGTAGGACTTGGATTGGAGATTCCTAGGAAATCCCAAGGCTTTAGTGTAGATTTGGAAATCAAACAAATATTCCTCCAAAATAACTTCCAAACAATTTCCATATTGTTTCAAAGAAAAATATAGGGTTCTTTAATCATCAGGTCACGTTTAATTAAAAGGACTCTTTCTCTTCATAGGCTTAAGTCAGAGAAAAATATACACTATAATTTTATTATGTTCCATATTATATTCATATTCATCATATTGCTTGTATGTGTCCCTGCCAAAGATTTTTGTCACTCTCTGGTTGGGTTTGATTATTATGTCAATTATAGCATTTGGTTTGTGATGCTGACTGAAATTGTAATTATACATTCAAGGAGCATATTAATATGCTTTTTAAATTTACATTTGAATAATGCACTTACAAGAGTATTACATTGTTGCTACCATTTTCTTTTGAGGCACCCTGGTGCTTGCACAATTAGCTTCTCTGTTTTGAATAAGAATTTGCATTGAGCCATTGTAGAACCCCTGTTTGAATACCATTTTATGCCACAACCACCATTAATTGCCAAGAGGCAATTACATCTCTCTCTGCTCATTAGGAGTACATAATAGGAAGAGTGTGTGCGCTAGAGCCCCTACATGCAATGTATTAGCTTAAGACATCAGACACAACCAATTTGCTTAGCATCAGAGGTCACCATGATCTACATGACTGTAAGCATAAGCGTATGCAATCAAGAAGTTAAGATAAACAATTTTATGATCTGCATACAGTTTTAAGCACCAAAAAGTCTCAGCAATGAATGCATTGTACTGAATAGGTAAGAGCTCATAGACAACCAAATTGAAAATTCCTTTCTCCTCTGTGTTTTGTCCATTACGCACATTCAGCCTCTATGTTTCCCTTTAAGTAAACTTTGCCTAAAGAGCCTAGGATTATAAAGTTCAGTTAGGTCCCGTAATGAAAGTTTACACTTGACATAAAGAAATAATCTCTTGTCAATAGGGAGGACGTAGATGTGACAGGAATTTAAATACTTCATTTAGCATTACCTGCTAATGATACCTTTGGCACATAGTTATTTATATATTCAAAGCAAAGGTGAGTCATCCATCTCATTCCCAGGTGGGTTAATTGTTTTAAGTCATGTACAAGTTCAACACGTTGATGTAGGCCTAATTTTATTTTTGAAATGGTGCTTCATTCAGTATATAGGATGAAATCGCTTAGTGTTTTGCCAGCTTTGTTCTCCTGCTGTTTTGTGGCACCTGACTGATCAAGCTGAGAGCAGTGATAAGCAGTCTTGGATTAGGCCCGTGATGGCAAATCTATGGCATGCATGCCATAGGTGGCACCAGGGATGGGTTTCTCACCCCGTTCCAACCGGTTCGGTTGGAACGGGGCCGGCGGCGTCCTCGTGCACGCACGCAGTGCACACATGCGTACTAGCGTCTGCGCGACGCTCCAGCTGCTCCTGGACGATCGCGCAGGCGCTGTATGCATCCTGCGCATGCGTGGAAGCGCAGAACTCGTCAAAACCGGGTAAGCACCGTGGGCGGGCGGGCGAGCCCTTCGCCATTCCCGGAAGTTACTTACTTCCGGGTTCGGCGACCAACTGGTTCGCAGGGACCGCCGCAAACCGGTTGAAACCCACCCCTGGGTGGCACGCAGAGCCATATTTGCCAACACAGCAGCCCTCAGCAGCGCTCAGCTCAGCTCTGGCATGCCAGCCAGCTGATTTTTGGCCTTCCGGAGGGCCGGGGGAGGCCGTTTTCACCCTCCCCAAGCTTCAGAAAAGCCTCTGGAAAATTCCCCCCAACATGGGGGTCACTTGGGCATGTGCAGTGGAAGGGGGTCACTCACACATGCGCAGGTGGGGGAGTTCTCTCATGAATGCGCAGGTGAGTGGGCATGCACAATAGCACACGCACACACAGTTTTGGCACACCTTTAGAAAAAGGTTAGCCATCACTGGGTAGGCTGTGTTTACAGGCACAATGTCAGCGTTCCAAGTAACACTTTCATAGCAAACAAAACTTCAAGACAGGTAGTTTCCTCAAAAATTAGTTGTTTTGGAACTATCATATTGGCACAACCTGATGAAAACCGACTCTGAAAGTTCCCGCAGTTTTCACCTAATTAAAAGTAAAAATTTTCCCCTTTCCCAAACTATCAGTCACATGGTCCAGTTGCCTGGTAACTTCACTCCTCCTCCCTCTCTCCCTCTCTCCCTCCCCCTCTCTCCCCCATCTGTGGGAAAGTCCTTGGTTGCCAGGAGAAAGTATTTTGTTTTGGCTACAAAATTCCAACTATTTCTATTCCCCCCTCTCCCTATCCCTCAACTCCAGTGTGGGCACATTTCAAAATGGCTTACATCAGGCCAGCTTCACAGTTGATACACTATTCTTGATGCTTGCCGACTCCATATTCCATCTGACATTAAAATATTATTTTAATTTTTTTAAGTGAGGTTGTAAAATAGTGTATCCTAAAGCAAAGCACTCTACCATTATTTTTGCAGGTAGTCCTCGACTTTCGACCAGAATTGAGCCCAAAATTTATGTTGCTAAGTGAAACATTTTTAAAGTGAATTTGCCCCATTTTACGACTTTTCTTGCCACAATTGTTAAGTGAATGGTTGCATTTGTTAAGTTAGTAACGTGGTTGTTAAGTGTTAAGTTATTGACATAGTTATTAAGTGAATCCAGATTTCCCATTGACTTGGCTTGTCAGAAAGTCGCAAAAGACCCTGCAACCATCATAAATATGTACCACTTGCCAAGCAACTGAATTTTGGCCATGGGGCTGCTGCAATGATCGTAAGTGTGAAAAACAGTCATAAATTGTTTTTTTCAGTGCTGTTGAAACTTTGAACGGCCACTAAATGAACTGCTGAGGACTATCTGTATTTACATGTATTTCTCTCAACTTCTGAAATAAGGAGCTAATATCAGAACTGCTAGTGTGACCACCTTGACTCTCCCTCTTTTAAGGTTCCCAGGCAGCCATACAAAAGGGTATCTCAGAGCAGATGGGATGGTAGAAATCTTCCAAGACTAAAGGTTATGGTGGAAATCAATCGTAGTTATTTGCTCTGAGGTCATCTGGCATTTTATTAGTGGTGGCTTGATGGTAGTTCTAAATATGTTCACCGGCCCCAAACATTTACTTCTTCCTGACATTTTCTTCACTCAGTTTTGAATTGTTTAAAATATTGTGAGAACAAGAGATTATTTATAGCTGCTCTTTCAGTTATTGCAGCTAATTCATTGCTTACTTACGATCACCTGTAGTTATTCTTCAAGCCAGGCACATTTCAAATGTTGCCGACAGAAGCTTTATCAGTTTTTGCAATTAAGATTCTATAAAAGAATCCCAAATCTTTTGTTTTCATCGTTTCCATTCAGAACTCATTGATGGATTTGTTGTACAAACTGGCGGTTGGCCAGCCCCATTTTGTTCGGTGTATTAAACCAAACAACTATCGTCAGGCAAACAAATATGACAAAGAAAAAGTATTGATTCAGTTGCGATACACTGGAATTTTGGAAACGGCTCGGATTCGGCAACAGGGATATTCTCATCGTATTCTTTTTGCAAACTTCATAAAGCGGTAAGTCCTTCGTAAAACAAGATCCTCTGCTCCTCCTTCCTTTTCTGCTGTTGTTTTTTCTATCTGCTTGTGTTTCTGCCAAAAGAACGCTAGTATCGCCTTAAAGGTAAGAGAGGAGGCATATAAAATAAGCAAATAAACGTGGCAAATTAATTAATTAAATATATACATACAATCACCAGCCTCTTTAAAGTAAGAAGGATCTCTGATTTTTTTTTCACTTGGAAAGGTCAGACAAAGAAGGAACAGCAAGTATGTAAAACTTAACTTGAAATATTACAATTGGACTTTTGATTTGTATAAATAAATCCTCAGAATTATTTACTTACAGATTTACAACCTGCCACAACTATCAAAAAAGACCATAGCTGGATCAAAATAATAAACCATTTTTTCTCCTAGTGTTTTCCTGCAAATGCAGGGTGTGCTTTTTTTGCAGATCAACCAATTATTGTTCCATTGGTTGAAACAGGACTTTTCACCAGAGGTGGCTTGTCACCTGAAATGGACATCATGGGCTAAGAGAAAATGATTGGGTCAACATCACCCAGCAAGCTATCATGCCTAAAGCAGGACTAGAACTCACAGTCCCCAGGTTTCTGACCTGATACCTTATCCACTTAACCAAACTAGTTTTCACATCAAACATAATCAATGCAAACCAAAAATGCCTTAGAAATACAAATTTAAAAATCTCAAAAGAATATCTGGAATCAGATCTTCCCAAAGCTATCTGGAGTCTCCAACTAGAGACCATTCCTGAGGAAAGAAGAAAACACTAGTTGACATTGGTGCCCAAATTTCCAGGACAACAACCAGTTGCTTCTCCCATCATGATCAAAGTAATTGGGCCCCTGTAGTGGGGAGTGGCCATCCTGCAGATAAATGGAGTTGAACTAGACTGTGGTAATTTATGGTAATTTAGTTAGGTGGGTGATGGGGAAGTGGATAGATAGACAAATGAAAAAGTGCTATAATATTCAATCCTTTAAAGAGTTGTTTACATTGTACAAACTCAGTATGTTGTCACCCATGTTATACCAATAAAAGCTGACAAGACTTAACATAGGCAGGAAAAAAATACAGTGGCCTTCTTGAGAAGGTAGCTGGAGCATCATGCATTTTCTTCTCTGAAAAATGAGCTAGTCTATTTACAGCTTATCTAATAAGAACCAAATACAATATCTCCAATAAATGCATTATTAAATAGTTCACATTTTTCCTCTCACTCTTTTTCTTTCCTTCTTCGCTGGACTCTTTCTTTCTCTTGTAGATACTATTTCCTTTGTTACAATTCCAGCAACGAACTTCCTATAAATTCTGCTACTTGTACTGCCATCTTGGAAAAAGCCAAGTTGACTAAATGGATGGTTGGGAAAACAAAGGTACTATTTCCATGCTTTGCCACTATCCACCTGTAATATTTTCTGCAATGCTCCTGCTGAAACAAGTAGGATAATCAAGAATATAGTGTTATGGAGGCTCACTCATATGCCACCAGTTTTTTAAAATTATCCTCTCTCTTTTAATAACTTATTTAATATAATTTGATGAAAAGAATATAGTGAACTCATTAATTTGAACTTGGCCTAATAGTTATGATTAACCAATATATTTGTGACTTTACATTCTGGCTATTTTGTATACAGTTTCATAGATATTTAGAATATATTGCAAAAAATGTTTCTGTGTGATGCACCATTATCAATCATCTAAGAAGTAACATTGTTTTATCTAGAATTCAATGTCAGATTCAGAATTGCCTCTATTTGACAGGTTATTTGATATTTTATCCACCAAAAAATTGGAACTTCTGTTCCCTGGACATTTTTCATATCTAATCATCCTGACTTCCAACGTTGCTGGGGGATTTTTTTAAGACAGGTATTTGGTAGCTTCCTCTTAGCTAGAGAGCAATCATCATTGGAAATGTTATCTATGGAATTAAATGGGTCTCCTCTTTATAATCTATCCTCCTCTTTTTTAACAGGTGTTTCTGAAATACTACCACGTAGAGCAACTAAATATAAAGAGAAAGGAGACAATTCATAGGATTGTTTTGATTCAAATCTATGTGAGAAGATGGCTTTGTTCAAACAGATTTAAAAAGTTGAAGGAGAAAAGGCAAGCAAGTGCAATTAAAATACAATCAGGTAACAAAAATATTTTTAGCATCATATATGCATGTATTTACATAGAATAAGATGCTCAAGTATAAAACAAAGGCAATACCCATTTTACTATTGTTTATATATATGTATATGTATGTATGTATGTATGTATGTATATGTGTGTATATATATGTGTGTGTGTATATATATATATTACATATATATATATATATATATATATATATATATATATATATATATATATATATATATATATATATATATATATATATATGTTATTTTGTTCTATTTTGTATTTATAGTTTGGCTTTTAGCAGATTCCTGGTCTTGACAAAACCCCTTTTATTAAATGAATGTGAATTCATCTCATTCATATTCAGCAAAGGCCTGGTAAACAGTATTTCAAAGGTAAAGTTATGACCACAGAACTTATCTAGCTTGAAAAGCTGCCATGTAAACATTTTCCAAATGCAGTGCTGTGCAAGGAAATACTTGGCACAGAGTCTCTGAGATTCACGGACAGATCTTCACACTCCTGAAATGAACAAATAAATGAACGAATTGTTTCCTCTGCAAAAGCCCACTCCTTTTTGCTCCTCTTTTATTTCCTATGGGAGGGGCCAGTCACCACCCATCTGTGGCCTTACTCCCAAGTCAACCCTGCTTTCTTAGCTGTTCTTTTCTTCTGGCAGCTCTGCGCATGCGCACACTGGGAACTGGCTCCAGCTGTTCCTCTGCCTCACTGCTGTCTAGCTCCGAAGGCAGCTGAGAACAGCCAGATGGCCTTGACTCTACCTCTGCCTCCAATGCAGAGCCCTCGTCCAAGCCTTCCCCAGCCTCCAGGACTCGCCCATATTCCTCCCCAACCTCCTCACTGTCCAACTCTGCTCCCAGCTCTGCTGGTGGGCCACAACAGAAACTCAAGTCTGCATACATGAAGATTTCCCTCCTTGATGGGCATCACATACATGCATCACAAAGTAAACTCTGCCATTTTTTTTTTGTATTATGATGTCACATACAAGTATGGAAGAAATAGAGCTTGTATTGGGATGTCATAGTGCAAATTTTGTTATTTTGATGACATTTTGACTTCTGTGGTTGTCCTTCCCATGAGTCATGAACTGGTGACTTGGAGAATATCTGAAGAAAATCAACCTGTAGCCAAAGTGGGGGATTGCCGGGAAATTGGTAATTCCTACCAATGAGATTGATTGGACAAGGGAATATGAGAAGATACTCTCAACCCCCTTAAAAATTTCCAAGTCACCAAAATATTATACCAAGAGCCAGTAATGTAATCCAATGCTTCCCTCCTTTTTTGCTTTGTTCTCTTCTGTCTTTTCTCATCATAGTGTCAGAATCCATTTCCAGCTTGACCATTTCCTCTTTAAAAGCTTCCTTTTTGCATTGGTGGCTTTTCATTACAACTGATAGTCTTGTCTACTCATCCACTTTATTTCCGAGCAGAAAATTGTCTAATATTGTGAGCATAGAGAAGTTCTCTGACAGTGTTGTCAAATAAACAATAATAAATACATACATATGTATTACAATATTTAATACAATATTACGATAATACAATAAATATTTAATACAATAATAAACACAAAACCTGAAAGATCTAAGATTAGAAGGATTAATTAAGTTGGTTGTTGACTAAGCAACTATAACACTTTAGCAGAAAAGATAAGAGCATCTTGTTTGAGATTTAAGCTTTTCCTAAATGTCAGTTTGATCCCTAAACCCATTTCCAATTTGATCTCCTTTAAAGTGTGAATTTTCCATTTTGAGAGGAAAGTTGCATTCTTGTTCCTAAATGAAAGCTTTATGTCGAATAAACTTGTGTTTTCTTGTCATGAGCCTGGATATCTACATAAAATTTCATTGTATTTGATGTCCTAAAAGAGGAGTGAGCAACCTATGATTTTAGATGTATTTAATGTCCATGAGCACTAATTTTTTCTTGTTTCTCCTGTTTGCTTTCCTGCCAGTTTTCTTGTTTTCAACCATTGGAGGTGTCACAGTTTTACAATTCAAAGATAGAGCCTCACCTTGAAGTCCAGTTTTTAAAAAAAATGCTTATACTGGCCGCATCTATGTAGGACAGTGATGGCGAACCTTTTTGGCACCAAGTGCCCAAACTGGAACAGACGTGCATGCGCAGACGCGCAGGCGCGTCAGACTGCTGGAGCATCAGAAACACAAACACCAGCTGGCTGTTGCATATGCACGCGCTAGCCAGCTGGTCTTTGGGTTTCTGGAATGCACATACATGCTGGTAAGCTGGTCTTCACACATGCTGGAGACTAAAAACCCGAAGACCAGCTGGCTGGCGCACTCATGCCTGTTTTATAGCGCCAGCCAGCTGGTCTTTTCCGGCTGTTTTGGGGGCTGTTTTCCAGCATTCCAGCACCTGCGAAGACCAGCTGGCACCAGAAACCAGAAGTGCAGCTTGTGACAGTGTGCATGCCCACAGAGAGGGCTCTGCATGCCACCTCTGGCATGCATGCCATAGGTTCGCCATCATGGGTGTACGACCACCTATTTTATGACATGGTCCAATCCCTATAGTCCTCATTGGCTGCTTTCAAACCTTGAAGTTTTGATTTGATTTTTTTTTATTTGAAGTTTATTTGTATGCCGCCCTTTTCCCTGGGGGGACTCAGGGCAGCTCACAATCAAAAAGGGAGGGGGGAGACAAACTTTTAACATATAAGACAATACATAAT